AAAGAGTCAGAACGATCAGAAGAATCCTTTGAATCTGGCTATCGGAGCTCCAGCATAAATTCTGCTTCTCTGGATGCAAGAGATCTTCAACAAATGATTCATCAAAACCTTTTTCTATGTAGTTCTGAAAGTGAGCATGACTCTTGTGTCCTGATCCAGGAGTCTACAAAGAAATCACTGCTTGGAACCAAAACAGACAGAATAAACAGCCCTGCAGACAAGAGTTTTGATACCCTTGTGTCTGCATCCATGGGGTCGTGTGGTTCTGCCTACAAGAGCTGTGACACCCTTTTGCCTCCATCCCTGGAGCCCTGTGGCTCTGCCTACAGGAGCTTTAGTATGCTTGTGTCTGCATGCAAGGAGCCAAGCAGCTCTGCATACAAGAGCTTCAATGCCCTCGTGTCTCAGTCAATGGATAACAGTAGCCTGACTCTGTGCTTTGAAAGCGTGCCTTCACCATCTTTGAGACAGTTGTCAGAGACACCAAAATGCAGCTGCAGAGATCAAAGCGCTCAGCCCACTAGCAATCAGACATGTTCTAACAACTACAGATCTCCCAGCACTGAGCTTGATTTTCCAAACACCTGTTCAGAACATACTGATTTTGTGTCTTTCTCCACACATGCAAATGAAGGTGCTTCAGCTTTTCTTTCAGAGGAAGAAATACATAAGCAAGTAATACATCAGAATGTTCAAAGAAAGGCAAATATAATTTCTTGCCTCACTGTACCTCAGCCATCTGGTTATCAGCCTTTCAATAGTGCAGGTAAATGCAATGGTATATACTGGGACAGTGACAATGAATTTACTGCTACATCACTATATGAATCCTTCATTAGTCTGTGCAACAACCTGAGTGAAGCACCTCCAGATACTGCAATCTATGAATCTGACCCAAGAATTAAGGACAGTGTGTGTTTGACTGTTCAGGGCTCTGCCTGCACCATTGTCCCAGGTTTAGCATCTAGTGAGAATGACAGACAGACTAGTGATGGCAGCGCTTGGATCAACAGCACTAATGAGCTGTCTGGTAATAGCAATGATGAAAATACCAGCAGAGATGAACAGTTGTTGCACTGGTTAGAGATGAAATGTCAAGATTTAAACAGCAGAGAAAGAGCTATAAAGGGAACAAAATTGAAAAGCTTTAACCCTACTGGTAAAGTAATGCAAGACGGTGGTGATAACAGACTAAAATACTGACTTCCACTGCCACTCACACAACCACTTGGGGGAACTTAGAGATGCAAGGGGAAGTGAAGAGGTGCTGAGGCATGCAGACAGGGATGATGGGTGTGGCTCAGCAGACAGCTTACCAGCACTGCTGGACAGTATTGGGCTAAACTTAGAAAAACTGCAGAGCCCCTGGAGCTCCATGGCCCAGACAAAATGTTACCTTCCCATACTGTAACTCCTATCCTTCTGATTCTCATACCATTCACAGTGAGGACTCCAGACTGACACTTGCAGTTAAAAAAAAAAGACCAGTAGAACTGTTAATGGAAAATAGCAGGAAGAATGAGAAAAAAAATGAAATTTGTGGAAACCCTTGCCCAAAAGGACAGCTGCTATATGGAGATAGCCTAGCCACATTTGTCAAAACTGAACTAGTCTTTGGAAATAAACTGTATGACAAGTTGAATTGTTGCTTGTTATTTCAGTCTTGACTGAAGTGAGGGCTCCTATAGGTCACCCATGATTCACTGGCTTGCAGCACTCATGCCTGCTTGGGGCTGGCAGCCAGGACATGATGCAGACCCCTGGGGACAGTTGGGGTTAGCACCCAGCAGTGGCAGCCACAGTTCTACAGGGACAAAGTCAGAGCTGGTGTCTCCAGCTGTGAGCAATCTCTAAAAGGGACAGCAGCTGCAGGAAGCAGGAGTTCTTAGTACAACTCCTGTGGTTATTGCCCTGACTGTTTGTTGCTTGGGAAGCACACAAAGGTGATGTGGAAAATGCTGATACACCTGAAAGTGGGATATAGGTGGAGGTCCAAAAGGAAGGTGATTGATTTATCACACAGCTTCCATAACTTACTTCTTTTGGGGTGGGGGATGTTGTCCAGTGTGTTTAGCCCTGGCACGGGGTGTATGTTTGTACCTGACCAATCAAGACCTGAAATAAAGATTACCTTCATTTGCACTTAGTGCTATTATTTGTGATAAGTTTCTTATCTTGTAGAAACAAGCAGTTACTTTGGCAGTTGTAAAAGGAATCAGGGATTTCTAAGCAGTGTTTCTTCCCAGAAACATTATCCAGTGTGTGGTCTGACACCCTGCCTTCATGGAATACTTTGTTGGCCTTGTTCTTGTCTACTCAGAATGGGAATTAGCCTGCACCTTAAAGGCAGTATGTACTTCTTGTTGTATAGCTATTCAAGAAGCTTTGCTGACAACTTCTTTACAGCATAATTATATGTTTCGGTGTGGTGAATTCCACCCTAGTATGTTGGCGGCAGCATAAAGCAGTTAAGAACCATTAAGTAATGGGGTTCTATTGAAATGTATACGATTATTCTCATTTAGAAAGCTCTATTTGTATTGCCATTCATGAGGAAGGAAACCATAATGCTAGGTACAGCAACTGGTACTGCAAATCTCTTTTCCAAGTTGGTAAAATAGTAGAGGTATCTGTGTAGGGACACCAGTGGTGCTTTCTTTCCCTTTTACTCCTGTGCTCTCTCTTGCACTCTTTGTGAAATCCTCCATGAAAGCTTGTGCTTGGCTGGAGAGGTCTGCTCAGGCCAATTTTGCTGCAGCACTTGCATGATTCATGCAGTTTGTGTTCTAGCCCTGACAGAGGTGCTTCCAAAGTGTTTTGTTTTGTATGCAGTTGCTTTTACAAAAAATAGGTAATTTTTATTAATTGTTGGGAGAACTATGCCTGTGCAATGCCTAGACGTGTGCCCATGAATGCACAGAAACACGCAGATCATTTCTCACCTCTGCAGATTGCTGAATACAAGGTCTGCCCCAGGCTCCCACGTGATGATGTATCTTGATCTCACATTACCCGGAATTTTAGGGTTTTTTACCACGCTTCTGTGACTGAGACCTTGCAGTCACGGCCAGAGCTCTCAAGGCTTCTCCTACTGCACCAAAGGCACAAGGTCGGAGGCCAAGCAACAGCTCAGCAGGAACTTTCTGGTGAAAAAAAGCAGAGAGACCAGTGAGCTTAGTTTGGTTTTCAACTGCAGGACTGTTGTCTTCCTAAGCAGATTGCTCCAAAGCAAAGGAAAAACACTGTCAAGTGAGGAAGAGGGTACTTTCCACATACCTCGCTAACACAACCAAAGTTAAAGCTTAATGAATTGCCATACCTCAGCCTGTTCTCCCAGAGTGCCTAATAACAGATATCAGCAGCACTCCTGGATTGCTAAATCCTGAGTGTTTTCATTCCTTGTGACAAGCTTCTTGAGAGGAGCTTTCATCTCTGCTGAACTCTGGCCAAAGGTGCTTTGCTCTATTTGTCCCTTTTGCTGTTCTGTTTTCAGTCTGCCCCTCCTGTGGCTTTCTGTAACATTGAAATATCGATACTGACCCTTCAGTAAGACTGCAAGATGAAAGAGAAGAAAAACTGGCAGCAGCCCTAGTTGAACAGAATGGGAACCGGCTGCTGTGGCACATAAGGGGAGGAGCAGACGTTTTGTTCTTTATTTTGCTGTTTGCCAGAATGCTCTCTGTAAAATTGACCATCTGTGCATGAGACCTAAGATTCTGTATTCTGAATGCAGAGAGGCAATTGTCATGGCAAGAGTTGTTACAGTACAGCCTGTGAGCCACAGTCTGTCTTTGGTAGAGGGATTACTGTGCTGGACCTGCCCAGTCCATGGAGTATGGCAGGCATCCTAAGGAGCTCCTGTCTCAGTTTAGTGATGGATCAGACATTTCCTTCATCCTGTCTCTATCCAATTGTGAAGAGCAGGGCATTCATAACAGTGTGGTGTTTGTTCTCTGATTGAAGGCTACGAAGTTGATGACTAATACATAGCACTGGGATTTTCCTACTTGGTGCTGTTTCCCCAGGTCTTAGAAATGGGGAAATTTGCTATAAGCTGAAGGGTTTGAGGTTGACTGCTTCTCCCCAGCTCAGCTACTGCTGGTTTCACTTGCAATGAGCCACCCACACAGCAACAAGAATTATAATGAGGTGAGAAAGCACTGGATTGCATTCTGGGGATAGAATTTCCATGCCTGGGTCAGCCTTATAACCAGACCCCAGTCCTTTTTTGGATGCCCTAGAGAGTTTCTGTGAGAACCAGGTGTGCATTGGCCATGGCTGGCCATGGAGCCAGTGCCTGTGGTAAAGTAGCCATCTGAGGTCTGGAGGAGCTGGCTTGTACTGTGCTGCAAGTGCTGACCAGTGCACATGTCTGGCAGGCCCTGGGCTTGAAGACTGTGCAGGGCAGGTCACTGCTGGGTGGCCTTCCCCCTCCACTGCCTGGCTGAGGTGCTTCAGAAACACATAGCATGGTCCTCCACAACATGAGGCGGGGCAATGAAGCCATGAAGTGCCTCATTTCCTCCACTGCAGCAGGAATTAGAATACACAGTTTGGCATATACTGACTTTTTCATGGCCTCATTCTGAGCTGTGCTGGGCCCCTGCAACAGACACTCTTGTTCAGAAAGTATTAGGAATTCTTCCCACTTCTGGTCCAAGCTGCCTTTGCTTTTCTTAAAAACCTCTGGCTCTTTTACTATATTGGATTTGTGTAGCAAGATTTTATAGTGGAGGGGGGCTACAAGGGTGGCTTTTCTGAGAAGCCACTCCCTTCCTGCCATTTCTCTAAAGACACAGTACATTGCTGCCAGCAACATGAGAAGTCACTGAATGTGTTAGGACTGCATGTTCTGTGGTTTACAGATGCAGCTGGCCACCCCCCTGCAGCTTGCTGTGTGAGCCCTTTGCTTTGCTTTGCAGATGCTGTCCTAGAGGTTTTTTCACCCCATGACAGGTGCTAGAAGCTGCCTAAGGCACACTCCGTTGCTGCACCACCCCAAGTGTGGAAGAGCTGCAGCCAGGCAGGATAGATGGCACGTGTTGATTTTCAACAGCTGTGGTAAGCCAGAGCTCCATGAGATGCAGATGAGGATCTTGCCATAAATAGCTGTGTGCCAGCAGTAGAGTTCTGGTCTTGGTGCATCCCCACTCGCAGAGATCTGGGGACAAGCTGATAGAAGTTGCCTCTAATGGGATCGGTTTCTGCCAACCTGCATGGAAGGAGCAGGGAGTTCTGCCTGCACTGCCAATTCAGGCGAGCACTGTGGGAACACATGGCATCTTGCTGATCTTGTGCAGAGATGCTCTGGGCATGCTTTGCATGGTGCAGCTGGGTTTGAGCCTGAGCAGAGCTGTAGGTTTCTGTTCCAGATGGTCAGGGTGAGTTCACAAGCACAGTCATTCCTGTTTCTCTTTACCAGCATGTGTCTGGTGATTTCCTAAGAGAAGATACAAGCCTATGTGCAATCTCCTTCATGTGAGCAAGACACACATAGCCACAGCTCTGTGAAGGTAAGCCCTTTCCCTCTGGCTAGAGCTGAAGTGATGTCCTCTTACTGCAGTATTCATGCAGTATGGGTTCAGACTTGATGGATATTGGGGAAAACAAGGCTGACCCCAGTGTTGATAGCTGCAGATAACTGGCAAAAGCAGAAGGGAGGCAGGAGGGCAGGATGCTGGAGTCTCTGCAGATGACATTCAGTATTCCCCAGACTGAAAGTAATGAACTCCTCCCTCCCCTGCAGCGTCCTGTGTCAGCTCACATCCATCACCTGTGGAGCTTTGGTGTTTTTCAACCTGCTGCTTTGCTGACTAACACCTCTGCTTTCTGCCTGGCTCATTCATATTTTAACCTGTTTCCTGAGCTTTGAGGTGGTTTCCTCTATTGCTTTCCCATCCAGAAGAACACTGTTACTCGTGTCTCAGCTGTTCTCCTGCCATTTTTTATTTGTCATAATGTGTGATTATCTTCCTCCTAAATGTCACCAGCCAGTAATGGTGCCTTTGACCCGAGAGTTATACCAGGTCTGTATCTTTGATGCTGTTGGGGATATTGGTTTAAGTCTGTTATGACAGGAAGAAAGTACAGAGGTAGTACTGTTTCTGTGGAGTTTTTTCTCTTTTTCTTCAAATCATGAACCTGATAACTCCAAGTGTGACTAGTTTTATATGCTAGAGAAAGGAATTGTCAGCTCTGAATGTTGTTTTTTTTGATGTGTATTCTTGCTGATAAATACATACATACGTTGCTGTTCTTCCAGTAATGGCAAAATGGTTTTGGGTCATGAATAACAGAATCTACCAAGCCTTCCCTTATGTGCCTTTCACTCTTGATTCTTGGTGAATATTACTGCTGCAGGCTGGGCTGAAATCACAGTTTTTATGAGTTAAATTTGAGGATAACAGGTCTTTTTGGTGCAATGTGTTTAAATTTATAAAGCCATTGGTCTTACAGTGTTACCAGTGTTCCTGTGATTAAAATTAGCTCTGTTAATATCAAATGAATATTATTACATGGTTAAAAAGTAGTGTGGCTTGTGACTGCCAGACTATCACTGTTTGGACTGGTCACACATGCTGTTCTTTCCCTCCCTCCTCTGCACAAATAACAGTATTGGCACCCCTTGAAGAGTCCTGTGCAATTAGGGAGCAAAAATTACACCACTGTCCTGGTGTGCTTTTCACAACAGAAAGATATTACTAAGAGCCTGGGAAACTTCTGACTTAGCCACTCAGGCTCATTAACCCTACACTGGACCCAAGAGTGGTGACAATCTCCACAACCCTCAGGCACCATCAGCTGAGACAAGTCTTTTCTAGAAGCTTGGGCCTGACATTGTGCCTGTAAATCATCTACAAAACATGCAGAAGGAAGAGCTGGTCTTTCACAGAGGCTGCTCCAAACACCATGAGGAGTAGCTTCTGGACTAAGTCATGTGGCCTTCTCCATGCATGTTCTGTGTACAACCAGCTCAGTTACCAGCAGCTACCTGGCAAGCATGGTCAAGAGCCACCTGCCCTGGCCTGAACATTCCAAAACATGTTTTTCACAGGGTGAGTCAGAGGCATGGAGGGCTGAACATGGAGCTCCCTCATCCTGCACCCAGCTGCTTTGTGCTACCTTCACTGCTTATGTCTTCTTGGGTTATTACAGCTCCTTGTTCTTGCTCCTAGTTCCTCCTGCTTCCACACTGTGCTGTGTGTGCCAAATACCTCCATAGTGCTGCTCATTTCCCTCTTGTCCAAGGATAGAGTGTGCATGGGTTCCTTGAAGCCCCTTTAAAGGTATGATTAAAGTTGATGGCCCCTCCCTCAGTGTCAACCTTGCAATCTTAACAGACCCATCCCAGACACAAGTCCCAGGCATGAGACATGACAGGGGTGAGCCTCTCACCTCTATAGGAGCCAGATGACCTCTGCTGTGGCCTGAGGATTGGTGCTGTTGCCCTGATCCTGGGACCATTTGGGGAATGGCTGAACACTTTGGTGCTTGACTGTCTCCAATGTGGCACATGCTGTACTATGCAGTTTGACTTAGCCCTTTAATACCTTGACACTGATGCCTCTTCACTGCACAAGTCACCAGCCCCACTATGACCTTTTAGATATGAAGCTTGTGAGTTTTTATCAGCTCTCCCACCCTTTTCTCATGTAAGAAAGCAGAGCAGTACAGTAATAAATGTTGTGTGGGTGTTTGGACCTGAATTCATCACCTCCTCTCACCACATCCTTCTGTTGGCACAGTAATACTGATACAGTGGTGACGTCAATCTCCATTTATCGCTGTGAATTCCAATTCACCACAGCCCTTGGTTGTGCACAAGTAGGCTTTGCTCTTACTCAGTGCTGAGGCGACACACCTGCTCCCCAGCTCCCCAGGTGGGGTCTGCAGTTGCAGTAATGATTTAACCAGGCTGGTCATGGAAGAGCTGGAGGGCTGAAATGCACAGAACAGGGCAGGTAATGTCCACCTTTCCACCAATTTTCCCTGCTGCCAGTTTGTTCCTGCTTGATGTCTCAATTTCACTGTAAATCTTTCTTATAGCTGATGTGGCCCCTGTGCCCCACCTGTCATTGCACTTAGCCTCTGGACAGGCAGAGCACCCCTTTGTCTCCCTGTTGCTTCAGCTTTGTGATTAGATAGCAGTGTGCATTGATTATGATTTTTTTTTCAAGAAGAAAGCTTGTTTGGGCACATAACTGGTGGACTGTGTCTTCCACTTTTTTTGCTTGGGTGCAAAAATTCATTTTCTGGTGCTGGAAATACCATATTTTTTCCCTCTCTTTTTTTATTTAAAATGAGTTCTTAATCAGTTTTGTTTTGGTGGGTTTTGGGTTTTTTGGGGTTTTTTGGGTTTATTTTTTTGTTTTTTGGGGGGAGGTGTTTGTTTTTTATGTACATACATTTCCTGGAAACACTTCAAACTGTGAGCTTAGGCTGCATCCATGTTTGGCAGCTTATAGCATCATATTTCCAGATCCTTACCAAAAATAATCTTCATAAATGTCTGTCTGTATTGGTCCTATTTCCTATTCTCTGGTATATTAAAAACCTGTAGCATCATTTACACGTGTATATTTTGAATAACTATTCAACTTTATTGTTGTGGTCTCATAAGGATACTACAGAGTTTGCAGAAGTGGTACTTGGCAGCTGTACAATGCTTGACATTTTATAAGAAATGTCTGTGTTGCAAGGATGTGTGAAGCTGATTCAGAGTCCCCATTTCACAGACCGAGAAAATGAAATGAGGTGGTAGAAAGGACTTTTCTAGTGCCAGACTGGGAATAAATTCCTGCCTCTGCTCATTGCCCACTGCCACTCCTTCCTCCACGTGAACAATCACATGCTGATAGATAGAAGCAAATGGGAAGGGTGTAACAAATGGAGGGACGTAGGAAAGGTGGGGATCCCAATAATAGACTGGGATTGAAGCTTGCAGGGTGCCTGACTGGAGCATGCTTTCAGAATTAGGGCTGCTATATAGATGCTTATATATTATGCTTATAGATGCTATATATTAGGGCTGAATATAGATGCTGCTATACATCTCCATTGGAGTCATGAGGTCTCTGGTATCAAAGACCACAAAGATGCTGCTGTGGAGCTGCAGGTTTCCCAGCTCTTCTGTACATATCTTCTTTGTTCATGTCTTGTCATAACAATCTAGAACACAGCCAGGAGGGCAGATAATTTCAGCAGTACTGAAACTGTCTATGGTGCTCTTAGAGGTCACAGTCCTTTCCTACCACACTGAGGTAGGGAAAGAGATGGAGATAAATGTTGCACTAATCTGTGGGCACTGGCAAGGGTAAGAGATGGGACAGTAGCATCCCAACTGAGAAAGTATTGTCTCTTTGTTTCAGCTATTTTAGCAGATCCTTCTGGTTTTCTTATTTTTGCAATGGTGCTCTTCTTCAGGAATCTTCCCTCTAGATTACAAGGCTGTGTGCTAACCTCTCCACATTGTGTAATGACAGCCTCTGGTAACTCTGTAAAAATATCTACCCAATGAGATACTTGGGTTTCTTGCTTTGACTTTTTCCTGTTCAGTCCTGACTGTCGCTTCAGGTTGATGATACCATTCTCTGAGCAGGCAAAGGAAAGTAGGGGAGGCCCTTGAAAGAAACCACATTCCAATAGGTAAAAGCAGCAAAGATTTTCCTTGCATTGGTCTGTTCATTTAGGCAGAAATGAGCATAAAAGCAGGGAGCTACTGCAACATCATGAATACAAAACATCAAAATCCCTGCCAATTGGATTCTGAAATAAGTGGGGGGTCTGCAGACCTCTCTGATGGCCCAGCCCTCCTTCCCCCTTCCCCGGTAGCAAGTTGCCTTTCTTTGTTTTCCGTGGTGGCCAAGAGTGTGGAGTGTGACAGTCACAATACAAAGTGATGCTGAGATGGGCTCATGGTGGAGCCTGTCTGAGCATGAAGTCAAGTGAGCAGGTTTCAGATGGCAGGATAACAGGAGGCCTTCCTCAAAGGAATGAGGATTTGGGGAGGAGCAATGGAAGATAGGTGAGATCACAAGGTGGAGTTAGACAGTGGACTGTATCTGCAACTAGGGACTGCACCACCAGAAGTAGTGGTGGCAAGTGTCAAATGACAAGTGTTATTATACAGAGAAAACTTGGAGAGGTTGGACTAGAGGGGTAAAGAAAAGATGTTTACTCAAGGCAATGTGTGATGCAGAAAGAAGGGCTGGGAGATAAAGGTTGAGAGTTTGCCCTGGCACTGGCAACAGGTGAGGGAGGATGGCAGGGTGCCTGGGGCTCCGTGCTGAGCTGGAACAGTGCTCCATGGGTAGGGTTTGTTTGGTAGGAAAGAAGGGGCAGCAGCTGCATCATTGCTCCCACAGCAGGGTGTGACACAGTGTCTGTGGCACCTCCAGAGTGAGTCTTGCTGGTCTCACCTGGGCACTGACACCCTGAGAGCATGTCTGTGAGCTCACATGAGGCTGCAGGGGCTTTCTGGTGGCTGCCAAATTTGTTTTGCTTTCATTATTTGAGTAAACCTGGGAAATTTTTATACACCACAAATGTTCCCCAAGTCTTAAAGACCTCATGGTGTTCTCTCTGCTGAGCGATTGCCTGGGTATTTGTTGCTTGTAGTGAATGCAGCATAGGCACCTCAGGACCTGGATACCTGCAACCCCATCTATGAATACAGGCTGAGGGACAAACAGATTGAGACCAGTTCTGCTGATGAGGACCTGGGGCAGTGGTGGATACAAAGCTGGCCATAAGCAGGCTATGTGTGCTAGTAGCCCAGAGACCCCCGTGTCCCGGGGTTCTTCCCCAGCGGTGTGGACAGCTTATAGAGTGAGGGGATTCTCTCCCCTACCCTGCTCTCTTGACACCCTGCCTGGTGTTCTGCCTTCAGGTCTGGGACCCTAATGTGACAAGCACGTGTAGCTGCTGTAGTGAGTCCAGAGGAGGCCACAGAGATGCTCCAAGGGCTGGAGCACCTCTGCTATGTATGGCAGGCTGGGAGAGTTGGGCTTGTTCAGCCTGGAGAAGAGCAGGCTTTGAGGAGACCTTACTGCAACCTTTCATTATTTAAAAGGAGCCAGTAAGAAAGATAAGGACAAACCTTTTAGCAGTGTCTGTTGCTATAGGACAAGGGGTGATTTTTTTTTAATTAAAAGGGTAGATCAGACTATGTGTCATGGCATATAGGCCCTTCCTGCTGCTTGTGCATCCTTGCAACTTGCTTTCAATAAAACTGTGCCCTCCAAATAATACACATTTCTTCTCTGAAGATTTGTCCCATTTAAGAATAGCTTGAGAAAACAGTGCTGGAGTCTGTACAAAGTATCAACAGCCAGTACTCTGCAGGGAGCACATTTTAAGCCTTTCTGTACATATCCATGTGTTTCTATAAATGTTTAAATGCTGTTAAAACACAGCCTTAAATGCATTATATGACTTGAGGGCTTTGTCTTGGAGCAGGGCCTGTGGTCATTTGTATGTGATACCATTTCCTCTGTTTTAAACATCCTGCTGTCATCTTCTCTGAAGACTGTCTTGTAGGCCCTCTTCACTAAACCATCATGCAGCCTCTACCTGCAGTCAGTACTGTACATTGTTCTCTTGGATACTACATGGGAGGCTGTTTGGGTTTTTTTTTTTCTTTTTTTCCTTTGGTCTGTCTTTCTGGAGTCCCTTAACTAGATATTTCATGTTTATTTAATTATGGATAGGCCAAATCAATGAGTTCTTACTAGCTTTCCTCACACAGACCCACAATGATATTCAGACTCCATTTGGCTAATTCACTGTATAGCTGTTTAATCTGCAGCAATGTCACTTCTAGTGCCAAGCCATTCCTAGTTGCAAGATACTAATAAAGAAAAAATGGGTTTGCAATTAACCTAAGAGTCTTTCCTGTTGCCTGGATAGCCCGAGCTGCAGTCTCTTTGTTGCTTTCTCTGTGCACCTGCTGGCAAGGAGCAAAGATTTCACTGACCTTGCTTATGGCAAGTTGGCAGGCTGTTGCTCATCCCCCCCTTAGCCCATGGAATAGATACATATAGGAGAGCTGAAATAAATTGTCTAAATAAGGCACTACTTTTACATGTTTAAATGAAAGCAAGATTAATTCCACTTCAACCTTAGTTAAGTAGATGCCTGAGTGGAGCTTTAAATTGATTGTGGAAGTCTTGTTTGTGGTTGTTTTTCTGTTTTGTTTTGTTATCTTCTTCCCCAGGACATCCAGTGAGAACCACCATGAGGAACAAACAGTGGCTCCAGAATATTTTCTTCTGCCTTTTTTTCCAGTACGGTAAGTACTCAGTACTTACTTTCCTCTTGTACACCCACAGGATTTATCTTGGTGACCATGTGTGCTGGCTCTGATGAGATGGGCATGGCACAAGGTTGCCATGGGACAGCAAACACAAGATAAGTTCCCAGGGGAGACAGTTCCATGCAGTAATGAGTGGAGGACGGGCACAGGAAGGTGCTGGGCAGAGTTCAGCCAGGCTGTGTACTGCTCTGGGGAGCAGCACCGGCAGAGCCTGCAGAGGTAGTGCCTGCCTTGCACTGAAATGTCTCCTAGTGACATTAGAGTAGGATTTCCCCCACCAAAAATACCCTTTGCTATAGAAAAGGTTTTGATGGCCAAGACCAGGATATCCCCAGGGTTGCTGTCAGCCAGGGTCAGTGGAGTGAACCTCTCCTAGCCTGAGTCCTTTTGCTTAGGATTGGATTGTGCATACAGTCTCTCACACACACACACACACACACACACACACACACACACACACACACACACACACACACACTTCTTTGCTGGTTCCTACCCACACTGCAAACTCCAGCTGACTCCAATCTGACTTTCTGAACAGATCAGCTGGACAGAAAAAAGCAGTGACAGCCATGTCTGCAGGGAACCATGCAAGTTCAGTCTCTTACCTGCTGCTTGTAGGAGGGCATCGGACCTGCCCCAGACCTAAATATGAAGAAAAGATGCATTCAGAATTATATCTTCATGTCATAGGGGACCACTGTGATATCTGGTCTGAATTTTGTGTGATGCAAGCCAGGGAACTACAATGTACTAATTTCAGTTTGGATCAATTTAGACCTTACCATTAGTATTCAATTCTTGTTTCTGAAGCTGCCAAGGACAGACATTTCATTCTAGATCTAACTAACTAATTTTAGGACACTTAATTATTCTTTTCCCAGTAAAAAGCTGTCGTCTTAATTTTGTTAACAGATTCTTGCCCAAAGATACCCTTGCAACTTACCAGCTACCTAGGAATAGTAGTCTGTCTGACTAATTAACAAAAAAGCATAGAAGAATGCTAATTACTGCTGATTAGTAGCCTATACTAATTGTTGCTAATTGTTGCTGCTCTTTATAAAGGAATGCAAGAGATTCCTAACCCCATTTTTCTAGGAAAACAAAGTTAGGCTAAAAGAGAAAAAGTATGTTGCTCAGAATTCAAAACTAAACAGTGCTTTGACCACGACCCTCAGAAGAGTCTATTGAGGGTTCAAAATAAAATGTGAAAACTTAATAAAAATTTTAGAGCAGAATTCTGAAGTCGGTGTGAAATTAGAGAGTCAAAATGAAGGTTTAAAAAAATCACATGTACATCCTTGGGACGAATCTGTTGCAAACATCCCCAAGCCACCATCCTAACTCTTTGAGTTAAGGAGGATCTTGTATGCAAATCTGAGTGCTGCCCAGAGTTCATGTAAGGAGAGTAGTGTGTGCTCTGATATGTAAGGACTTGGAAGTAAATGTTGTAATGGGTCGTGGGTGACTTCAGCACGGAAAAGTTGGACTTTGTTTTCCTCTGAACTTACTCCACCCTAGAAAGAGGCTGCACCCTCTGCTGGACATGCCTGCTGTGCATTGTGGCTGTCAATGCAGACAGCTTGTCTGTGTGGACAGCCATTTGATCTGGAGAGTGGAACAGATGTTTCTGGTCCATCACTGCACACAGTGGCTGCATTCCGCAGTGGTTCTCTGCATACAGCTTCAGCTGAGCATAGCATATTAGCAAACAACACTCTGGACATAAAGCATGTTGCAGCAGGGAAGGAGGAAGCCCAGAGTGCAACTCCTCTGACCAAGAAAGCAGCAGAACAACAAAGGGAAGTGAGCTCGCAGCATGGTTAGCATAAAATAGTTTGGTTGCCTGATGGCTGCAGAGTGCTGTGTTCTCAGGAGGCTGGGAGCACACTTCACGGTAGGGAAGGACCCATGCCTGATTTAAGTATGGATGTAACAATCTTGGGTCTTTTCCCAGATGATGATAATTTTATTCTCATTGAAAAGGGGTGATACTTTACATGTCAGAAATGAATGGTCACTGCAGTAGGCATTGTTTGAACCAGCGTGGCATTCTGCATCTCCTGTAGGCCTTTCTTCATTCAGCCATTCCTAGTGTGATGGTGGTGGTTCTTGTCAGCCCAGGCAGCTGTCAGGAGGGGACTCGTCAATGTAGACACTTCTCACTGTGCTACTATCTTACCTGCCTTGAAATCCAGGGAGATAAGTGTGTTATCTACAGGACAAGTGTACTTTTATAAAACACATACTGAATACTGCTCTGTGAGCAGAGCTCCTGCAGAAAAAGTACAAGAGTATAAATGCTGCTTTGTGACCACTTTCAAAAAATTACTTGATTTTCCTAATGACTGGTGCAAGTTCTATAATTGCCTCTCAACTTCTCTTAGGAAGTCTGTAATTATAAAATTGTGCTTATCAGGATGTTTCATAGAGATTATAATAACTACAAACTGGCAATATTTTTTATTCCCAGTTTCATGGAAAACATACTTCAAGGCTCTGGAGCTGGACATAAAAAGTATTGATGCTGCAGATATCTAGCTTTAGAAAACTGAAAAGAGAATGGCAAAGAAAAATCACTAAAATAGCACTTTTAAAAAAATAGGTAAAGCGCTATGTAGATGTCCAATGAAAGCTAGACTAGCAAAGAACAGTACTCAGTTTAGAAAGTGGTGTCATTAAACGTTTGAATATGCTACTCTGTATATGTGACTCTGCTGTAGCGATTGTCTGAGAGACAGGGATAAGTCTGAAAATTCAGTCAAAATTTGGGCATTTCCTAATTTTGGCTGCCACAGCATTTTGAATAGGTTTTTGTTTGACACTTATCTTGCCATCAATGACTTGCCACCCTGTAGAGTTGGAACACATCTTATGCCCCAAAACTGGAGACTTTCAGCGGGAGGGAGAACGGTTGTCAGAGACCCATCTGTTCGCTTCAGATTTAGTGGGAACCCTGAAGAGTGCATATATTGATACAAAGTTCTTTTTGCTTTATCACTGAAGTTGATACTGTGTTTTCTCTTTCCAAACCTCCAGCTTTGTGCTGTGAAAGCCTCACTTGTTTTGTGGACTATGTACAGACCCTGTCCTGTATCCTGCGAGACGAGTTGGGTGGCGGTTCATACAACCTCACTGCAACATGGTATGACTTGGTGGGATGAGAAAAGTCCACTTAGCAGGAGCCTCTCCATGGCCATAGCGCAGTGGCGACCTTCTGTTCTCTTTGTTAGGTAGAAATCCTGGTTTTGCTGTCATGCGGGTTTTTCACTTGCTATTTTGCACTTCAGTTACAAACTGACTTCTTCCCTAGCAAAGGACCCCTGGTTCCTGTCTCCACTGACTGTGCTTCTTGCTGCTGACTGCTATGCTGACTCCAGCTTCCTTAGCATTGCCTTCCCTGCTGCCATGGGAATACCTTGCCCTTTGCAATTGTTATAAGTCAACTTTCACCTTTGTGTATTGGTAGGGCTCACACAGATTGTCCAGTCTGCTGCTGTTCTGCCCCAGCAAGGAAGTGGATGCAGTCTTGGGCTGTGTAAACCTCAGGAGCACCTTTCCTTTCCAGAAACACTTTCCTATTCTCTCAAAAATGCTAAGCTGAGCAAGTAGAAGGGAAAAGAAATATGTTTAAGTTCAAAGACATTTTTTTATTTTAACATGTTGATTCTTCATTTTAATTATTTCCTATGCCTGGTGGTTCAGCAACAAATTAATCCAGCTACAGTATGTGATACATGCAGACTTTTTCATTTTGGCTTTTTTAGGTTTCCTGAGGAAGATCCAGAAAATACTGTGGCTGCCTGCAGTCTCTTGCAATTGTCAGGGAACAGCAGTCACACACAGTACATGTGCACTGTGGACATGACTGAACTCCTGGCAGATACCAAAGTCCAGGTGGATGTCACAGAGATAGCTGATAGGCACCATGTGCTTTCCAAAGATTTTTATTTGTCAGACAACAGTAAGTACAAAAATGGTGAATTTGATAAATACTGTTTGACTTTATGTGCTAGGATAGTCTGGGCAAGGAGTAAGAGTGGAAGCAAGCAGTGTGGGGCTATGTTTGCTGTACACTCATCTACATAAAGCACTGTGCTCTTATTACTGCTATTATGCTTGAGGCTGAGCTTAGAGCTGGCTTGGTCCATGATTTTTATGGGGAAATTCCTTTTCCCCATGAAGCAGTAGGTGATAAATATCCACCTTAGACCAGTCTCATACCTAGGCTATGCAAGAGCTTGTTCTTGGCTGGATTCTAAAGGGAGGGAGGAACTGCTTTGTTACAAATGTCACAAATCATGGCATCCTTAAAATAGTTTGGGTTGGAAGGGACCTTAAGGATCATTCAGCTCCAACCCCCTGTGATGGGCAAGAACACCTTCCATTAGACCAGGTTGCTCCAAGCCCTGTCCAACCTGGTCTTGGACACTTCCAGGGATGGCAGCAGATTCCACTTTCATGGATCTGAGCAACCTGTGCTGGTTCCTCACCACCTTCACAGACAAGAATTCCTCCCTGATATCCCATCTAACGCTGTCCTCTATCAGTGTGAAGCCATTCCCCCTTGTCCTGTCATTACATGCCCTTGTCAAAAATCTTTCTCCAGCTCTCTTGTAACATCCAAGGAGCTGGAGGCTCCCAAAAGGCTTTTGCAGTGGACACCTGAACTGACATGACATTTTTTTGGGTGGCACAAGGTGTCCCAGATATACTGGATGTGACAGTTCCCGTCTCTGGGGCAATTCCTAATCATTTCTCCTGTATGACATGAAGACTGAATGCAATCATGTAGCTGACTTGGTGGAATGTTGGTGTGTTCTGGGTTGTATAGCAAACTGTGAAGAAAAGGAGGGATTACCTAGGCAGATGGGTACCACGCAGACATAGGAAAAGGATTTTTCTATTTGGCTTCTTCTGAAATTAAACTTTACTTGAGAGGTGTCATCTTTTTGACAAATGCCAAAACATTTCAGAAAGCGTCCTTGCTCCCACTGACAGCCTAGAGACTGGGTGGTAAGTGCTTTGCATATCTCCTAGAGATCCTCATCCAAAGGCATCATAGCTAAGTGGTGGGACCTGCAGACTGCTGGGGTTTTGCATTACTGCTTTTCAATATATAAACACTCCCTGCAGGGATACAAAAGCTTGCTTTTCAGGCAGTTGGGACTGCTGTGTGCTTATGCAATGTCCCCTATCCTCAGCTTTTCCTCATGACTCTGTTACATGAGGGGCATTTCCCCAATTTTGTGAGTGAACTACACAGAGTTCTTTTATGCCATGAGAAGAACAAGGTGCTCTGCGTTTTACATAATCTCCCAGGAGTTTATTAGCCCTGTGCACTATCCTTCCATCTCCATAGGCAATAAGGAGGTTCAGAGACAAGCAGAAGATATATTCAGAGAACCGTGGTCCTGATTTCATTATGCTCCTTACATGTGAGGTTTGGTGCATGGCTGAGGGCAGGAATGCTGTGAATGTTCTCTAGTATAGGGAGGCCCACCACTGCCACCACAAAGGGCAGCTTTGTTCCCTATTCACTGTAGCGGTAACATGATACCATGTTGGGCTATCTCTTAATTGTAGTAATCTTATAAAAGGTAACACTATCCTGTCTTCCAGTAAAACCACAGCCTCCATTCAACCTGAACGCTTTGTTCTCAGAGGGTTACAATATTTCTTGGGAAACCATCTATCAGAACTCTTCCTTTTATTTTTTGAATGAGGAGCTGGAATATCAGCTGCGTTACAAAAGAAGAACTGACACCTGGGAGGTAAGTGAGATGTCAGTTTACCATCAAGTAGGGTGTACCAGAGAAGAGGAGGCCAGCACAACCAGGACAGTATCACTGGTGGAAAAGAAGGGTTTTCATGGTTTAGAACAAATGTGTCTCTGCTTGACTGGGCTAAAAACGGGCAAACCCAAAATATAATTGAGAAGCTGTTTGAGAAGTATTAGATCATGTGAGGAAGGCTGATAATTCATTTGATTCTCATGCTGTCCTGCCTGGAAGGCTCCCCCAGGATTGCATGCAGCTGCTGACCAGTCAGAGCATGGCCTTGCAGAAACAACATGAAAGCAGAAGAGGTTATTTTGCAGGTATCCTCACTGTGCAGCAGTGCGAGCAAAGTCAGAGCAGTCACTCTAGTGTCTGGTGTTTAATCATTCACAGACTCAGAAGACTAAAGCTGTTCATGAAGATAAACGGACATTGGTGATCCTGCCATGGGAACTACAGGCGAACACTGAGTACGAGTTCCAAGTGAGAGCTAGACCCCAGGAAGACAGTGGCTATGGTGGTTTTTGGAGTGAATGGAGTTCTCCGCTGTTACTGAAAACCAGCCCTGCCAGTATGTGCTGCCAGATCTCCTTTCCCTGTCAATTAGTCCAGTGTCAGAATATGCTTTCAGAAATTTAATAAAATCTAATTAGTTAGAAGAAATTTTGAACAGTCCAGTAAAGACAGGTATGGTTATCTCCCTCACTGATTATGTGAACCTGGGCTGTCACTATTGTTGTTCTCACTGTGTAGCAAAAGAAGAGTGTTTTTTGGGGTTGCCTGTACATTTGGATGCCACTTGCAGGAGTGCAGCCTCTAGATCCTTTTCAGTGTCAAATGTCCAGGGTCCTGCTTGCAGCTTTTAGAAATGAGGGAGATCTCCTCTACTGGGTCTTAGTGTTGTCTTCAGCTGAGGGGAGGGAGATGCTGCTCTCAAACCTGAGTTCTATGGCTGGACTCTGATGTTTGGTCATGCTGGGCATGGGTGTTTTGTTTGGTAGCCACCACTCTGGAGGGAGTTCACAGTACTTCATACATGGAAGTACACTGATCCTTGTCGTGGTGGAACAGAGGCTATGAAAATAAGGAGCCTTTTCTCCAACAGAGCAGGTGCAAAATGACTGGGGTCAATGCCAGCAGCACATGCTGAACTTCCCTGCTCTCACTGATCTGCAGCACGAGCTGAAGTATTACACGGTTAACCTGGTGCTGTGGCAGCAGGGCCAGGCTTCATTTGCTAAGGGATATCTGAGTTCTGGATCTCAGCAGTGCTCCTTTTCATCACAGGTGGACAGCAGCCACCAGGCAGTCATCTAGTCAACACCTGTCTCTAATCAGCTGCACTCTTTCACTTCACAGATCATCTGTGGAGGTGTCTCTAAACCAGGAGTCAGAAACACCAGGGGTCTTTGTGGCAAGGAGCTGTCCTGCCCTAACTATGTTGGCTGCCTATCTGAGGTGCAGCCAGGTTGTAGGGCGGCTGATGTAATGCTCCTTTCATTGATGCAGTCATCTCTGAGCGCTCTCAATCGGACCTGTCTGGAGTACTGATACCTAGGTGACAGCCTCGATATCCCAGTGAGAGAATATGGGATATAAATTGTGTGTCATAGAATCATTTAGGTTGGAAAAGACCTCTAAGATCATCAGGTCCAACCTTTGATGGTCACTTTAACAACTAGACCATAGTACTAAGTGCAATGTCCAGTCTCTTGAACACCTCCAGGGACAGTGACTCCACCACCTCCTGGAGCAGCCCATTCCTTTGCTTGACAACACTTTCCATTCCAAAGACCCTTTTTCTCCCCACCATCTCCTGTTTACTGATTGGAGTATAAATACAAGGTGAGTCTGAATGACCTTGTCTCTTTCTCCAGCAGTGACACAGACAGCCCATGGCATGGAATGGCTGTTGCTGTTTGGTATTGTCGTGGCAATCATAGCCTCAATCACAACATTTCTGGCCAAACAGCAGAGGTAAGAATGCTTCAGGAGGCAGGAGGTAGTTCTTTTATTCTGTCTTGTTAAAGATGGGTGTTCACATGCCTCCTTCCTTGAGTCTTGTATATCTATGAGTGGGCAGCTATGGGCCTGTGAGAGACAGCCAAGAATGGTCACCGGCTGATGTACTGCAGCAAGTGACCTGCTTTTCTCTGAGGCTCTGCTGCCACTCAGCAGGCTGGGACAAGATGGTGCCACATCGGGATGAAGCGAGGCATACAGCCTCCTGAGCTGTTCTCCTGGCCTTGTCTGTTCTTTGCAATTGCCAGATAGAGCAGTAGCAGAGCTAGCTGCCCCTTTCCAAAGCTGGCATAGGTCGCTCAATGCTGGTTGGAGGACCCTGCCCCTATCAGAGGTTTCTCATATCCTTGAAGAGATATGGAGTGCTGACATGGAGGAGGGCTGGGCTGGTGCAGCAATAGGGCTGGCACAGCCCAGGTTCACAGATGAATTGCATAGAGAAGAGTCCTGGCCTGCAGACCACAAACCAGCCCAGACTCAGTGAGAACACATTCCTAGCATTTGGTGCTTTTCCAGGAAGGAAAAAAACTGGAATGTCTTCCCTTAGTGTGAATGTGTGTATGCAAGTGCTGAGGCCTCACCTACACTGAGGTTCACAAGAAAGGCTATTAGATGGCTCTGGCAGCAAAAGACATCCTTGGAGTCTCAGTCACTTGCTAACTCACAAGGCTGGACAGGTGATTCTGGTTGCTTGAAATGGATCTGGAGATGCCTTGCTTTGCATCTGTAATGTATGCTTAACCCCAAAGCTTTTCTCTTTTCTCTTCCAGCTTGTGGAAGAAGATGGCTTGCATCCCAGACCCTGCTCCCTTTTTCAACCCTCTTTACATGGCTCATAATGGAGATTTTAAGGTATAAATGGGCCACACGAGTGGAGCACATGACAGACTAAAAGGCCATCACGCTATCCTGAGCAAGGGATTCTCATTAGGGCAGTAGAAGGGGTAATCTCTCTCAAAGGATTGCCAAATGTCTCCAGATATGAGCCAGACCTTTCCAGTATCTGTTCAGTACCATGAAGACCTTTATGTTATATCTCCACTTCTTATTCTCTGTATGTGTTCTCTCAATGTGTAAGCTGAGTTAATGTGATTTCTGAACCCCAGGATCCTGACAGGAGTGTCAGAGAAAACTGCAAAGCCATGCAAACCTCTCAGAGCTAATTATTTTCGATTACTTCAGTTAGTTCTCCTGCAGTTGCCTGTGTCTCATAATAACAGGATCCTCCTGTTACATTAGAGGAGTCAGTGATTTTAGAGTTTGACTTCCTAGAGAAGTGTAAGAAACTTGGTTATTTCTGTGGAACCTCAAATCTTGTGATGCTAATCTCTCTCTCCCCATGTTTCCTTTTCTGCAGAAGTGGGTTGGTGCATCCCATATGAAAATGACCTTTGATTTCTTTGAATGGGGAATAGTCCTTCCAGAAGTCCTAGAAGTTTACACCATGCATCCTTCCAACAGCACCCCACAGGAAGAGCTGCATGAGCTGAGAAAGAATCTGCCTTGCAAGCCCTGTGCATCTTGCCTGACTGCCCCAGGTCATGGCAGCCAGCCCCTGTGGTGTAGTGTAAACAGTAGTGGCAGGACTGAGGACCAGTCATACGGGCACTTGTCAATCGATACAGTGACTGTGGCTGATGAATTTACATCTTGTAACTGCCAGTGCAGCTGTAACCATGTGAACAGGGAACATGAGCATGCCAACAAGGAAGATGATAGTGCTGGAGAGCCTGGTTACCCCAAGGTTGACATTGATGAGGAAGACAGAAAGATATCCAGTGACTTGCATTTGGCTGATCTGAGTTCACAGGACAAAATACTTGCTTCAGGCTCTGTGTCCATAGACCGCCTGAGGAGCCCAGTCAATCAGCAAGGGGAAAGGGGAGTGGAAGGAAGGGTGGGGAACATCCTAGAAGCCCTTTGCTTGCAGACTCATCAGTGGGATTTGGAAAATCCAGGTTCTCTACCTTCTCCTGATGGTGAAAGTGTTTCTAACAGTGAAGGCTTCTATGACTTCTTCCCTCACAGTACAAGGCCTGGTGACAGTTATCCTTTGATCTGTGTAGATTTGGACACTATTGACAGTGGCTTTGTGGACTCAGACTGTGGAAGTCCAGTTGACTCTGAATTTGGGCAAAACAGTCAGACCGTTTGTGCACCCATCCCTCTCGAGCAGGAGGAGCAAGACTTTCCACGGAGCTATGTCAAGCAGTGGGTCTCCTGTCACTCTGAGAGCCCTCTCAGTGGGACACAGACAAACTAAGGACTTTGATGTTGCCTGGATGAGTGTGGGGCCTTTTCCATAGTGTGCCAGGAGTGAAGTGTTAGCAAAATTCAGAAGAGAAACTAAGTATACTTTGTGTAAACTCTATTGCATAAACTGACACCTGTTAGGTCCACAAGATATGCCTGTCTCTATTCCCACTTATACTATTAATGTCTCAAATTTGTTGTGATTGATGTTGTTGAGTTTTGTTGGGTTTTGGGTTTTTTCAGTATCATAAATCAACCTTTCCTTGATGTCAGAAAAATGTCAGAAAAAAACAACTGTACCTTGAAAACGATCCTTTGGCTTATGTAGATATGCAAAAAATTTTGCAGTAACCTTATAAAGATCATAGAACTTTAAGTTATTTTCCCTTGTATTCTCACATGACTTGAGAGTTTGGCTGTGCATGGAACCTTAGAATCATAACCCATGGAAAGAATGTTTGCTACATTAAAATTCCTCTACCGTTTCCAAACAACATATGATGTTACTTTATCTTCTACTGCCTTTGGCTCTTCAAACTCAGCTGTAGTAGTTTGTTAATTACAAAGGTTTCCAGACCTGTCTATGGGAATCAAAACTAATTCTTATGTAATCATTGCAGAAATGCAAGTACAAGAGACCAAGCACAACTCAGGTTTCAGAAAGACTTTCAGGTAGAGTCTGCAAATGAAAAGTTTTCAAAATATGTATAATTCTAAACAAATTCTTGTTACTAGGCTTTTCTATTGAGTCAGATTCCCTCCCTGGACTTTTCAAGAATATTAATTGAGCAGCTTTCAGAATTATGCCAGAATTATCGAAACGTTGTCCTACCTGGCTATGCCTGCCACTTCTGCCTTTGACTTGCTCTGCTGCTGTTAACAGGTCAGTAGCACAAATTTCAAGCAATGTCTGCTAGCTAATAAAACTAAATATGAAATTTTCCTGTAACTTTGAATCTGTTTTTATTTCTGACATTTCCATATCACTGATTTGTTCAGGATAATTGTCTTAAAAATTAATTGTAATACTGAAATTAAGTGTGAAGTCCTTCATCTTACATAGGCATAGTGCTAACCCATAGGCTGTTTGGCTTCAGAAGCTCATATCTTGAGAGAACCTTTGTGGTGAATGATGCATATTTCCAGTCTAGTAATAATCTGTTGTTGCTGTGATACCAATAAACTCCCTTCCCTCACCCCCTTCTCTTACCTGAGACTATAGGCAACCCCACAGCTTTCTAAACAGGAGAGAGCACTATAGTAAAGAGAAGCTTGTTTGTTTTTTTTAAAGGTGAATGCTGGGACAGTACTGCATTGCATCCACGTCCTCTGGTTTGATTGTTCAGAACCACCACAGTATTTGCTATGTTGATTTTGGACCTACATGGCTTAGTTTTGCCGTGTTGTTATTACTCCCTCAATACATCCCTAGCTCAATGGCTTTGTGGCTACTGCTCTAAGGTACATTAGCTTCTTTGGTTTCTTCCCTCCTTATTTTCCATTTTTCTTGTCATCTGCTGTGATAAGTCATGGCAGGAGGTGTCTTCATGTGCTGATGCATCCTCCCTGCTGCTACTGGTCCCTCACATGCCCTCCACAAGGCAGCAGAGGATCACACCAGCTCCACTGCCCTAATGAGCTGACTGCCCCACACTGTCCTACAAGGGCTGCTTGCATTTTGATCATGTCAATCCAAATATGTACTGGACAGAAACATTTCTCAGGTTTCTCTCTCACAGTCTTCTGCAGCTTCATCTCGCAGCTTTTTTCACTTCAGAAACTACACTGTGATAACTGACCCCAGGTTGCTTCAGGAAGAAACTCACTTGGTTTTTTGGGGCCCTTGACATCTCAGTTCTGTGTGCTCGCTGTTCCCATTTGTATTGATGGACCCAGAGCTGCTGAAGGAACTGTTTCTGTTATTGGAACACTATCTGGCTGTACATCTGATAGAAGGTGGTGGTTTGGTGTTATGCCGGGCTGGAAGTTACCTCGGTTCACCGTAGGAGCCAGACTTCATGAACAAGTGTATGACACAAGGGTATTTAAGTAAGGGAACTTGTTCCCTTTGAAGCAAAATTTAACAATTAAGTTTTTGGTCAGCGAGCTGTCACTGTGGATGTGGTGGGGTTTGAGGTGGGGGGGTGGGGGTTCAGTGCCCCTTAGGAGCAAACTGCAAATATCCCTGATCTAGCTGTTCAAATTTGGATTTTTTTTCCCCCCCCAGGAATGATAGGGTCAAAATGCAGGTACTGGGAGAAACACTGCAATCCATTCTGATGTACCCATTTGGAAATGTCATCTCCATTTCTGCAAGGCCCCTGTGTCCCTGTCTCTTGGCCCCAGAAGCTGATACTGACAGACTATTAGTCTGTTCTTTGCTTCTCTCTCTGTTCTCTGGCACTAGACCCATGTACAGGACTGATTTGATGGATCCTGGCTATAACACTGCCATTGCATCATTGCTGCTGGGCATGGGAAGATTACTTATACACTCTAGGATCAGGGCTAGGAAGCAGTGTAATGCTTGTTTGCTTTGCTTCCAGAGCTGCCCTGTGAGCACAGGGCAGCCATTGGCTGTGCAAGAAGAACAGGACAGGGCAGCTTGGGGGGGCTGCAGGGGTCTGAGCACAGTAGAGCACAGGTCCTGGGTGGAAGCAGTTTAGCCCCACATCCACGCAGGGCTAGAAAATGGCTTTGGGTCACTTAGAAAGTTCTTCTGTTGACCTATTTATATAAAAGTTGAAAGCAGATACTTTTCTACTTAGCAAATTACTTGGCCTTTTAAATGTTAACCCTTTAGCAGAAATTCCTGTTTCTCCATGACTAATGAGAAATTACATATATAGCTACTTTAACTCAATCTGATAATCAGAGTAGTTTTTGATTGGTTCTTGAGGTTATCTTTAAAATCAGGCACAGTAAGCTCTGCTTTATTATGCCACTGCTGCTACTGCCTGATCATCAAACCACACAGCTTAAACTATCAAGGGACAGTAGCAGTATGAAAAGAGGCATTTCTTTTGAGCTGGTAAGACAATTTAACATATTTCTGTTCTACACATTCGAGCATGTAATATTAGGGGACATCTCCTGAACTAAAATATTGAAAAATATTTTCTTTATCTTAATGTGGAATTCTATATTGTTTCTTGAACTAAGAACCTGAAGATCAGAAGTGTCTTTGCACTTTTGTTCTGATAGCTTGCTGAGCACAAAACACTGCTATTGCGTTAATTCTAAATGGATTGCGCTTGAAAGAAGGACCATCTTGAACAAGGTACTTCTCTCTGACTGCAGGAGATGAATGTAAAGGAATCCAGCCAAAATAGTCCTCAGTGTCTGGGACTTTGCAGACATAAGCATACTTTTTTAATGTATGTGTGTGTATATATATATATATATATATATATATATGTGTGTGTGTGTAGAAATACGTGAATATTGTTTTATTGCAGTCATCCTTGTAGCAGCTTTTTTCTGGGATCCAAGTATATCACATCTAAAAGTACATGGCTGTTTGTGGGCATCAAATTGTTGCGAAAATGGATCACCAAAGATGAAGAGAGAAAAAGGCTGGTTATATGGGGTTCTCTCCAATAATCTCTAATTAATGCAGATAAGAAAATCCAACTACTTTTTCCTTATTCCCCAGGATAAGTCTCATGTGAGCCTGCTCTGCATATTTGATGTGCTTCTGTCAAATGTGTGCTTAGAGACCTAGGTATTCAGAAGGTATCAATCATTTTTCTTAAAGGACCCACAAAAATCTTTTCTTATAGGCAGGGATGATGTCCAACTACACATACTAACATAACAGATTGCTCAGGAGACACTGCACTTTGGATGAAGGGGTGTACCTGTTGGTACAGACATGCTATTGCCTGTCACTATTTTACTTTGTAGGTGCTAGTCAGTGTCCTACCTTTCTTTAGTGCCTGTTGGTGCTGCCACTGGAAGAGATGTAAGTGAAGGAAGGGATTGTGGCAAAGGCAGAGCACGTCATTTATGAATAGTTGCTAAGATGTAAAGAATGACAACTGGGTTGCATTCAAGGGTCCAAATCTGCTATGTCTGTTCCCACTGTGCACCGCTCATTCTGTCATAGAATCGCAAAATGGCTTCAGTTGGAAGGAATCTTCAAACCCTCTGCCATGGGCAGTAACATCTTCCACTAGAAGGAGGTCGCTCCAAGCCCGATCCAACCTGACCTGGAACACCTCCAGGGATGGAGTAGGGATGTCTTTTCTGGACAGCCTCTCTCAGTGTGTCTGCCCTCACAGGGAAAATTTCTGCCCAACACCCCATATAACCCTAGCCTCTGCTTGCTGGAAATCATTCCCCCTTGCCCCATCACTACATGCCCATCTCCAGCTTTCTTATAGCTCTTTTATGTACTGGAAGGGGTACTAAGTTCTCCCTGGAGCCTTCTCTTCTTCAAGCTGAACAAGTCCAGGTCTCTCATCCTGTCTTCATAAAAGAGAGGCTCCAGTTCTCTCATCATCTTTGTGGCTTCCTCCAGACTTGCTTTAGCAACTCCATGTCCTTATGCTGAGGACCCCCATCACTGGACACAGTCCTGCAAGTGGGGGTCTCACAAGAGCAGAGTAGAGAGGTAGAATCCCTCCCCTTAACCTTCTGGTCATGCTGCTTTTGATGCAGTCTGGGATACAATGGGCTTTCTGGGCTGCAAATATGCATTGCTAGACCTTGTCAACATCAGAATCTTGCTCTTAGAACAAGCTAAACACATTTTGAAAGAGTCCAGAGCCTCTGCCAAATCAGAGCCTGAACCTTCTGACTTCCTTTAAGATTTAGGTGAGCATACAAAGCCATGTGAATGAGCTGCAACAAGAAAAAATTCTGTTGATTAAGCAACATACCTTATAAAACAGTTGATGACAGAACTGGAATAAAATCTAGAACTCCTGGCTGTCTGCTGTGGGCTGGCATATAGTATCATATATATCAAAGGATACCCAAGCATATTGGAGAATCTTACCCACATATCTTCATGTGAAATCCTTGCTCATGCTCTTTCTTATATTCATGTTTTATCAGGCTTTTGTAAAACTGATCTTACTTGTAGTCATCCAGAAGTCAGAGATGCAAAAATCCTAATTTGTGTCCATCCCTTTGAGCCCGTCACATTTACTTCTATCTCTGTCTCATCAAGCATGTTACTTGTCCCCACTTGTAAATTCACTGACAGCCTCTTCTTGTCTTCGTGTCATCTCTCACTTCCCCGTTAGAAGTTAACTCTATGATGTCAGCTTCCACCTCCCTCTGGATCATTAAACCTACTTCTCCTAATCATCCCCCATGCTACTGCTTACACATTGAAGGTGCTGCTTACAATTCTCTTGGGCTACATCAACCTCATTCTTCAACTCTCCCTGTAAAGCTCTGCTTTACAGAGTTTCTAAAACCTAGATGATATCTAGGCTACCTACACGGTGAGACTGTGCTGTCAACTGCTTGTACTATTTCCTCTCTCAGTGGTATCTATCAAATAGTTTATTTTACTTTACAAATTCTTCTGAGAAAATGTCATCTTTTTATTGTGTGTTCAACTGGATCCCAACTCTGGGGGTGAATCCCAGAATATGAATTTCTGATGATAGATTTAGCAATAATAGTCAGTCATCTGTCTTTGTGGGCATTTGGAAAATCTTTGTTGTACAAATTCTGGTTAAAATTACTTAAAATTGCTTTTTGGGAAGTAGAGGCAGGAACCCCAGGAGGGGAGGGGAAAGACACAGCTGCAAGGCCTCATTTCTTTGAGCAGATAACAGGCAGAATTCTGCCCTGGAAACATACAGAAAGGACGCAAACACCATTGCAACAGCTTGAGACCACTTTGGAAATCAAGGTTACTACCACCTCCTGGTGCTGATAGACTGCTGGCAGCATGTCTGGTGAATCATTTCAGGGCATCATCTCAGATATTTTGTACTTCTTTCCTGCAGAGTAAAGCTGGTTCTCCCTTCTTAACACTAGTTCTCATATGGCTTTTCTGCCTTCACCCACAAATTTGCAGTGTCACAAAAACTGGACATTAGAGCACAAGAAAGCAGCAAGCAGTCTGGTCCCCAAGGCATCCAACTAAGAAGTTGACTTGTCTTCCACTGCAAGCAGCTGCTGTAATTGCACCTGCACTGCTAGTACTGGGCTTCCATCTGAGCTAATAGGAAGACTGCAAGTCTTGCATAGGTTTAGGGAAGAGGTTTCAGCAGTAAAGATAGTTCCCCTTTGTAAAAATTCTTCACTTTGTTTCTGTCTAATTGTGTCTACTTTCAGTGTCCAACCACTGGACTCTTTCCATCTTTGTCTCATAGATTTAAAAAAGAAAAAAAAGAAAAGAAAATACTTTTCTCCTACCTAAAATCATCTTCTCATGTAAGATACTCATGGTTGGTGTGAAATAACTACTTAGCCTTTCCTTTGGCTAAGTTAAAGATATTCACTTGGTCTGTAATTGTTGATTTCTGAGGAAAGTTATCCAGGGCTAAATCCTTCACCAGAAGCATTTTAATATTGACAGCAATTTTTTGTTTAAAGTGTTGATTCCAACAGAATAAATTAATTAATGGTGATACAAATGCTATGTGTAGCTGCAGTAACTTTTCTCTCAATTGATATGCATCCACAGTCTGTATGTTAGCTCCTCTAATTGCATTAATGTGATGCAGAATCTCATTCAGCAAGTTGTGTGCTACTTCCTGAAATTCTTTTCTGATAAGTCATTCAGAATTCACTGTTCTCTGATCTACTTAGGACTAACATTTATGGCTTCTAACACAAAAATTTGTATTTAAACATGCTGCATTTGTTTCCAGGTGAGCTAGAGAGCCAGAAATGTCTAATACATTTCAAACATTGCAGAGCTGAACAAAGAACTTCTTGCATGGGGGTGGGGAGAGTTTATTAAATTAATAGCAATTACCTGGAAACATTCTGTTCTGATTTACTTAACCTAAAGGCTGCTTATTTGTTTGTGTGCCTGAACAAGTTCTTGTTAGAGTCTGAGGCACAGAGTGTGCCCTTGTCTCTGATGCCTAGCTCTGACATCCAAGAAAACACTGAATTTCATATAACACCATGTAAACAACTGTTAAATAGAAAAACTAAAAGTGTGAGTGTGTAGATTAGAGAGTTTTCTTAAGTCACTGGGTGAAAAAGTTAAAGTTTAGAGTATAAGCTAGTTTAGAGAACAGAAGACAAGATGGAGGGTTTAGGGTGTTGCCTCTTTTTCTTCTTCTTTTTTCTTCTTCTTGAGGTTTTTGGGTAGTAGTAGGTGATTGGATAGAAAATGTCGCAATGCAGCACACAGGTGTTGGGTCATTGGGTCACTAAGAAAAATAATTTATGTGTGTATAGTTAATTGGGTAAGAATAAGTATAAAGATAAAAAGGCTGCGCAGTTCGGGGCCGTTTTGTGTTTTTCAAGCCAACTTGAGCCAGGCGATGGTGGGTTGAACTTGAGCAGAAAGTCTGGGGAAGACCTGCCAAGTCTTTTGATAATATATATTACTAAACACGAGAAACAAGAAGCAAACGAGCCTTTGGAGAATCCTTCCTGAAACAGAACTGAGATAAGGGAGACTCCTCCTGAGGGAGTATCCCAGAGGGGCTCAGCCCGGAGGAGACCAAAATCTCCAGCAACACTTGTAAGCACATGTATAATTCTACTTAATGCAGCCCTCTCTATTTCATATTTAGTCAGTATTACTGTATTTATCATAGAGACCATAAGCAAATTTGATTAGAATGATAAGCAGGAGAGACTTCATGTGTCCCAGCCTCCCTCATCTAAAATCAGCTAGTGGTGACACTTCCTTTCGACAACCCCCACCCTGAAGAAAGTCTGCAGCAAAACAGGATATTTATGAAAAGCCCATAGTTGAAGAGGTGGTGAAGTAAAAACCAGAAACACTCCTTTTCCCTTGATCAGTTTCTGAAACATTTAATTATTTTAGAATTTCATTAAGACAAGGAATGATACAGGCAGGCATAATCACATGCAAGAAGTTATACATAGATGCTGCTGTCTAGCTTTGTGAAATTCATGACTGGAAGGATATTCTTGGTCATGGATCAGATGGCTTAATCTCTTCAGTGAAACAATCCTAATGATTACTGTATTACAGTCCTTGCTAAGCACAGATTTTTTCTCTCTCACTTCTATTCAAGACTGCTTCAGATCCTTTGTTGGTTAGAAATCACAATCTTATTCTATAGTCAGGCTATATACACTTGGTCCTGTGCTAATACTGTACTTATTGTTTCTTCTATCCTGACTCTCCTTCCCTTTTCCCCAGCTTCTTCTGAAAGAGCAATCATAATCTCTGGCAAGTTTTGTTTGGTATCTTTTTATTTTTTCTTTTTTTTTCTAACAATACTAACCCAAGCTCTTTTGAGACAGAACATTCCACCCTCTTGTTACCCCAGCTGTAAAGCTCAATTCAGTGTCTGTGCTAGTCAAGTAGTGCAAAAATTGTTATTTCAATATTTTTTTAATTTTTCAAGAAACTGTTTTTTGTTTATACTGATTAGTGGTCTCTGTCTACAAACTCACTCCAAGTTTTCTGGGTTTTAGGCTCTTTGGAGAAGCACTCTCTTTGCAGAGGTGCTGGGCTCATTTGCTTTCCAGCAAATAATGCAAACTGGAAACATCTTTTTAAAACACCACATATTGCTGAAAGGATCAGGTCCATATTCTTCATATTAAGTGTTGCTATAAAATCACCAAATCAGAAACTTTTAGTGAAAAAGCATAATTTTAAATTAAAACTTCATCAGGAGATAATTCAGAGAATGGAATTTTTGGTTAAAAAGAAAGAGAATGAACCCAGTACAACCTTGTAGACATGTATTGTCGAATACTGCAGAAGATACACTTCAAACATCCTTACAAAACCTTCAGTGAGTTGGGTTAATAACATGGCCCTAAGTATTCTATATCTCCCAATGAGTGCTTTGATCAGGATCATATCAGTTATTCTCTGTGTCTGTTATCTAAATATGCAGAAATAACATTGCTCCAGGAGGCCCCTGACCTGCAAATATCTGGAGTCTGAAAATGCTCAGAAATGAACATCTGTGCTCTATTGCTACGATTCTCTCTAAGCATCTGGTGTTGACTATGGTCAGAAACAGGACTTGAGGAAACATGAACATTGGTTCCAACTCACTGTGGCTCTCTGCTGCTCTTAAATTGTCATAAACCAGATAACAAAAATGCAGGAAGAAAGAAAGAACACCCACATCTTCTCCACCCTTCATAAAATGGCAGGAGCTGTAGACTTCCTTTCAGGCAGCTGGTGCTTTAGTGCAAAGTACTGTTTACTGCCACGAGAAGAACAGTTCCTATAGAAGAAATTATATAGGTGAGTTGGTGCCTTCTCTGTCAGATTCAGGATCAGCTTTTGTCAGGCTGGCAGAAGCATGCAGCTAACGCTTCAACGCACTGGTAAAAATACCAACAAAACTGCTCTTAACGATTATTCTGTTCTAGATACTATCTGGAATGGGAGGAGTTGTGTGGCAGCTGGGCCTCCAGCTCTGCATTGCTGCTGTGCTGATCTTTGGCGGAGGAAGAGGAAGAGGTAAGAGATCTGGAATAGGTCCACTGTACAAAGACAGGTACATGCCTGTGCTCATTTTTCATTCACAGATCCTTCAGTATGCAACCCAAGATCTTGTGACTGGCCTTTCCCAGGTCCCAGGAACCAGTACAGCTGGCTGATAATGCCAGGCCTACGGGACTGAGCACATACTGAACAAGCTGGGCACCAGAAAAAGTGTAGCCACTGCCCAAGATCCCTGCTCTAAGATCTTGCACTCATCTCCTGCAGTGAAGTGTGTTATAGCAGAGTAAGAACATGATGAGGAAGATCAGATGCAGTGTCAGCAAAGTACTAGCAAGTAGAACATTTATTTGGTGTACTGGGCAAGGCATCATCCAGTGACACATGAATCCATTTCTGGTCTCCTTCCTCTGCAGAGCTCTCTGGCAGCCTGAGCTGCCTGAATAACTATGTGACGACTGTGAGCTGCATGTGGGTAACGGAGAAGCCAGTGGGTGATGGACCTTTCCACCTGTATTTCACCAAGTAAGAGCTCCACACCAAGAACTGTCTGGGGCAGCCCCAGCCCTGGCATGGACAGGACAGCACTGAGAAGTAGAGATGGAGCCCAGCTGTGGGCTTTGCTCCCTCCACAGCAGGAGACCCATGCACAACTAGCTCTGCCATCTCATCACCCCAGACATCAGAAGCTGCCTCAGAAGCTGCTCTCTATTGTGATCCCACAGCCTCAGGAGCTGCGGCAAAGGTCAAGCGCACATGGCTGCATGATCTCCTGTCAGCTGTGGGCTCTCCATCTGTTCAGTAAACCCCTCTGGCAGGCATCTCAGCACAGGGAACTTCCCTTCCCAGCCTCTGGTCCCCATGACCTGGGAACTTCCAGACCCCATCCTGCATAAAGCTGTCTAATCAATTCTAATAATTTCTTTCCTTTTTGCCTAGAAATTAACACCTAATGGTTTAAACTATATTAGTAAATACATGAATACAAGTCCAGTTAAAAGCTTTAATAAGAGACTTAGAATATTATCTGAACAATTTTTCCACTAATAGAAGAAATTGGGTGAATAGTTTGCTAACTGATAGGATAACTTGAGATGAATGTGTTTAGGTTATGTAGAAACATTGTCTTGACCATCAGTAACTATTACATGATGGTAAGCCACTCTAAACCACATTAGATGCCTCATATTCTGCTACAGTTAAGTAAAAAATAGCCTCTTATTAATACTGGATTTTAAATATATGGAAAGATGGGCAAGCTGATAAACTGTGATATCTCAATTTTCTGTGGGATCACATGCAATGTGAAAAAAATTGCAAATAAATGGCTAGACCACAAAAAGACAAACCAACTTCCAACAAGTCAGTACTGGTTTGTTTGTACTGAAAGAGGACTAAATGTACAGTTTATTGTTGCCTCTGTGTTATGCACTTGTAACCAACTGTCCATCCACTCTTTACCCCGACCCATCTGCTTTCCTGCAGTGACAGCAGCTCTCTCACTTTCAGAGGGAGCAGGGAACAGCTACTGGACAGTATGTGCAACTCCTGTAAGATCTGGTGCTCTCAGGAGTAAGGTTATGAAGGTGTCTTCTTCTTCCCTATCCAGCCCTGCCATCCATTCAGCCTTTGGATTGCTGGTTTGCTTGCTAGTGCTGTCTGCACTAAAGAGGTTCATGGTCTTCCAGAGTGTGGTGCTGTGCTAAGTTGCCACACATCCATAAACTGAAAAACACTTAATTGTATGATTAAAAAAGAAACTTTCAGCCTTCTTATTCTTCTAGCCTCTGGTCAAAGGGCCACAACGCCAGCTGCAAACTGACTGCCACAGAGAGTATGCAGAATCAGTACCACTGCACAATCCATTTAGCCAGCCAGATCTTGGAAACAGATGGTTACAGAGTCTCTCTCCAAGGAAACTTCTTTGGACATAATCATTCATACACAACCTTTCCAGAGTACAATCCCCGCAAGCACAGTAAGTATGAACCAGGACAGCTGTGAGCTGAGGCTCTGCCCAGAAACTTCAGGATAGGTCTGATATGCTGCCTAACAAAGGATGTCTTAAAGATAACAAGGGAAAATAATGAAAACAATCAAGACTGCCCATCCCCAGAGAGTTCTCTGTGTGAACTGCACAGTAAGTAAAGTAAGGATGCAGTTGCTGTCTCTCCATCCTGACTTTTCCTGGACTTCAGAGGGAAGTCTCTGGAGAGAATGGCTCTGGAGCACCATTCAACAATACTTCTCATCTGCATCATGTTTTCTTGTGCCCTGGGTAATTTGCAATTGGACTGCTTCAATTATTTGTTTGTTTTATTGTTTTATTTTTCTCTAAGAAATTATGTAATGAAGAGTCATGGATTTATGTCCCATGGCCTGGCACTAGAGAGAAATGCTCAAAACTTGTCCATATTAGTGGTATGTTGTAGGGGCAGAATGTGATACCCAGAGTGGTTCTTTGCTTGCAAGAATGACCCTAGGGACTACTAGAGTTATCATTAATTTATGTCAGATCCATAGCTGTTCTGATGCTGTAAGCTAACTTGGTCTACTACTAGTGTTAGTATCCCTCTTTAGACTCAGCTTCATTTTCCATTACTTCAGTCACCCTAATATAATGTATTTTCTTCTGTGGCGTCCCAAACATCATGAAAAAAATCCCGCCTCCTCTATTTGCAGTAAAACTTGATCCACCTTTGAATATCCAGAGCAATGCCACTGCCAGCAAGTGCCAGATATGGTGGAGCGTATGGAATGTGCCTTGGTACCTCGCTGAAATTCTCCAATATGAGTTGCAGTATAAGGAGTACAGCATGTCCTGGGAGGTAACTGGATGAAGCATACAGTAATCCTGCCTTGTTCTTTGGGTACAATGCCCTTGCCACTCAGCTCAGGGCTCTCCACCAGCTGACTTATGCTGGCCTTTCTGGTTTCCCATGTTAAGGCTGAGAGATTTTACATAAAACATCAATACTGAAGTTAAATAACTCTTCTTCTCATAAACCCTGCATCCACGACCATTCAGGCCCTCTTCTTGCATCTAAGAAAAGAAAATCTGGAAAAGAAAAGAGAAGGGAAAAAACAACAACAACAAAATAGTATTTAAAAGACCATCCTTTTTCCCAGTCTCATTAACAGCAATGCTTTGTAATACTTTGCAGGTTGCATTGAACAAGACGCTACCCAGTTCACTGCCACAGGTAGAAATTGAAGCCACAGAGCTCCGCAGTGGCATTGCTTACACTGCAAGAGTTCGCTGCAAAGTTTCTGAAAATGAGAATTCATACCACAGTCAGTGGAGTGAGTGGAGCCAGACAACAGTGTTTCAAAAAACAGGTACAAAGAATGTTGTTTTCATCTTATTTCATTTCTTTTCATGTCCATGTTCCAAAAAAAAAGAAGATACATGATAAAATGAAGCTTTTCAAATCAGAACTAGCTTTCTTCAAGTATTCATAGCCAAATTGTTTTCCTTAAGGCCTCTAGCTGCCAGTGTCATTTGCAGTGCTTGGTTATTTGGGGTTGTGTCTTGACTTCCAGACTTCTTATTAAAAATTTTTTTGCTGATTCTTTGCCTAGATGTCCCAAAAGCCTCTGAAAAGATTCTAAACACCAAAACTATGCAGTACTTATTCATTCCTCTGAGTTTTGGCACTCTGCTCTATTTATTCTGGACCTATAAGCTTTCCTCAAGGTATGTGATTTTCTTTTAGTTCCCCTTGATCTTTATGGCCTGAAAAGGGTAAATCAAGAGTCATTATATCCCTTTTCCTTCCGGTTTCTGCTGCACAGACTCAGTCATTTCCAAAAGGTCTTCTGACAATCTTGGAATGAGACATCTTCCTTGGCTGATGATAGTTAATGACCTATATTTAATTAAGGACTATACAGCTCTTATAGAGATCAAAGTACCTTTGGGACTCCTATATTTGGCTAAAGCCCAAGGATGATGGTATCTTGGAATTAAAGAAATTTACGCCCATGGAAATATTTGAAGTTTCATGTAGATAAAAGTGCAAGTACACAGCAACCCATAAATGTGGTTAAACTGATGCCAATGCTAAGCTACATGTGATGTTCCTGGCAGGAGTCAGTAGGTAAAATACCAATATAGGCAAACTGAACTGATTCTGATTCATTTGAGACCAAGTTGTACAGAGAAAAAAATGGTTTTAGAACCTTGGTTCAACAATCCTCTACAATTTTTTATGTTGGCAGAGCATAGGTAAATCTCCTAGCTCTTTCATTTTTGCCTTGACATACATTATTATGCTCCATATGCACAGCATTCTTAGAGAAACAGAATACATGATGTCCATATGATAAAATATTTTTATAGGATAGACTCCAAAAAAAAGGGGCAAGGATGTCTGGCAGAATTTCTCTGTTTAAATGTAATGAAATTAGAACTCCTTAAAACACTTTCAAAAACAGTGGTTTAGGTCAAGTGAGCTGACAAAAACAATGCTTAAACAGCTCGGTGCATATAATGAGTAATAGACCAGTATATTAAGTTTGTGACATATTCCTAAGAAATTTATGAGACTGTGCTTCAGGTTAGAAACATTAAATGCATGCACAGGTGGCAGAAAAATAATTGCATGAGAAGTCAGAAATTATGATGAGTGGGCTTCTTGTGTGATCTTACTAACATAAGTGGTGGGGGGGTTCATCTAACCAGTATCATGGAGACAGAACACAGAAAGACTGTCCCTTTTTTTAAGTATTGTTTTCTTACTTTAGGGCAAAAAGCCTCACCTGCTTTAACATTCCCACGCCAGCTGCTTTCTTTCATCCACTCTATAGTTTGCACAACGGGAATTTCAAGGTAAGAAATAAATTTCATTTCATTCTTATGACCTTCCATTCATGACAGGAAGATTTATTTTTTTTCTGGGATTAATAATTCTAGTTCCTGAGCAGCATTAGTGATGCATGGTTCTGATCTCCATGAAAGTTCATAGTTTCTCATTTTCCTGCTTCCACATACTAGCTAACCACCAGAGCTTCTGTCCAGCCTCTTGCTCCTTAGAAGTGGAACTCCACCAGTGGCTCCTAGCTCAGACTAAATGCAAAAGGTGCACCTTTTCAAAACCAAAGCAATACCAGCAGCTTGCATTATATTCTGGTGGTGTCATCTTGTAAAAAATCTTGTAAAATTTTGTGAAACTAGCTGCTAGGTTTTTTACCCTATTATTCTAACTTTGCCTGTTGGATTTGCACTAAACATCTGGGTAATTGTGTCAAAGCCATAAAGAAAGAAAAGTTATTTTGGAATAACTATGCAAAATTACCCAAACTTATTGATGCTTTCATAGGACTGGGTTGGATCAAATGAGGCTTGTAGCCAACTTGAAAGAGAAGAGGCCAGCAACTCAAAGAAAGTGAATGCAGATAGAGTTTCTGTTTTAAACACCCAAGAGCTGATTTCCCAAATCTCATTGAAACCTACAGGAAGCACAGATGTGATTACTGCAGAAGAAAACTTTGCATTTGCCTCAGGTCCAAGCCAGCAGTATGTCCCCAGCAGGTACATAAGAGCAGAAGAGATAGAATTGTGGCCAGGACTATTGTTTTCACCAAACCATGCTGATGATACCGTTGGCCTGAAAATCTCTGAAATAATTAAAGACAACCTTGAGAGCCCTAGTGTTGGAAGGAATTATTCCTCTCACTCACAACATGGAGACGGTGACCTTCTTATGCTTCAAGAATCTTTGGGGATAGCAGATGTGTCGTTCAGTGGTAGTGACTATTGTACTTTGTGTGACAATGATACCACAGGAGGTTTGATTTCTGCTGAACTGCTGAAGCTTTCTAATGGCAATAGTCGTGTTAAACATCAGAAAGATCAGTGACCTTCCCTAAGGAATACTGCCTACAAACTTCCTCGTGCTCTATCACCTCCAACACTGTTCTCCCAAGCAGCATTCGTGGTGACTGTGCAGACAGTTTCAAATGTATCATTTTAAAATACATCCTCAACTTCTGTGCTTCAGAAGAAGATTGTGACTAAGTCCCCTGTCTAGCAAATACTACCCCTACAGGCATGGCAAACCCTGACTCTGGCAACATCTGCAGTCCCAGAGACATATGACTATGCTCTTCCCTAAATTAATGTCCTGGCTGCAAGATCCAGTAACCCTCTTGTCTAAGGAGACAGCAGCAGACCTGCTGTTTTCCTCAGGAAGAACTATTGGAACTGTGTGCCTCTTGGAAGCAGCAATATTTGCAATGTGATGAACCATGATTTAAACTGCATAATTTTGTAAAAACTATGCATGATCCTCTCTGGGTCACTGTACTTCTCTTCTAGGGCACTGTCCCCTCTCCCTAGAGCAGTGTCCCCTCTCCCTAGAGCACTGTCCCCTCTCCCTAGGGCACTGTCCCCTCTCCCTAGGGCACTGTCCCCTCTCCCTAGAGCAGTGTCCCCGTTCCCTAGAGCACTGTCCCCTCTCCCTAGAGCAGTGTCCCCTCTCCCTAGAGCACTGTCCCCTCTCCCTAGAGCAGTGTCCCCTCTCCCTAGAGCAGTGTCCCCGTTCCCTAGAGCACTGTCCCCTCTCCCTAGAGCACTGTCCCCTCTCCCTAGAGCAGTGTCCCCGTTCCCTAGAGCACTGTCCCCTCTCCCTAGAGCACTGTCCCCTCTCCCTAGAGCACTGTCCCCTCTCCCTAGCGCACTGTCCCCTCTCCCTAGGGCACTGTCCCCTCTCCCTAGGGCACTGTCCCCTCTCCCTAGAGCAGTGTCCCCTCTCCCTAGGGCACTGTCCCCTCTCCCTAGGGCACTGTCCCCTCTCCCTAGAGCACTGTCCCCTCTCCCTAGGGCACTGTCCCCTCTCCCTAGAGCAGTGTCCCCGTTCTCCGGCCCTACACGATGCCCCTCGGTGCGTGGCCGCTCCCTGCTGGCGGATCCCGGACGCCGCGAGCGGTTTCTCCCACGTCCTCCACCACAGGCAGAATTTACTTCCTCGATTCTCTCCACCTGCTTCACATCTTCCTGAAGACATCATGCTTGTACTTGGATATACTATTCAATTACATCCTCATTTGTTACATGGAGAATGAAATTAGTACTACCTGCCATTCTCCCATTCTGTATGTCATAATGTGCTAAAACTATCCATCTGCAGTAACATCTCACTATTCATTCATTCTAGAAATTCTGGTACCCTATAATTCTTACATCCTATTTCAATATATTGCCAGTAACGTATTATTTCAGAGTTTATATTAATACATTTGCTTTATTTTTTGAAGTGCAAATATTTGCACTTCATGTAATTTTATATTATTTAAGGTGTATTTAAAATATGCCAAAGTATTTTTTCTCCTCAATTTTGTCTCCCTAAGTGACTAAAATCTTTCCCAGAATAATATCACAAATCTTGCATACATACTTTCTATTTCATTACCAAAACTGATGAAAATATTGTCAGACCAAGTTTGAACCTGGAATGCTCCTTGAAATGCCATTCCACTTTAACAAGGAACTGCTAACAGACTCAAATAGATTATCAAAAAGTTTATTAATTCATTAACAAGACTAGGTGCTAGCATTTAGGTCAACCAGCTTCCTTAGTATTCCTTTAAAATTGAACTTTATTGAATGTCTCAGCAAAGTCAAAGTATATACTATCTAGCCTGCTAGCAACAAGTAAACTTTCTTGTCAAAGATGGAAGTTATATTGTTTCTCTGTTTATCCACTTGTTGTAGCATTATTTTGGGCCTTACTTTTCCCACATTTGAGACTATCATTCTGAAATCCTCTAGGTTTCATGAATGGCTTCTCAGAAATAACTTTTAACATTGCAGAGTCTACTTCAGTTATGTTTTGCTTGGGTTTTTTTTTTCTTGTTTGGGGTTGTTTATGTGTTTGCTGTTTTATTTGGTGTTTATGTTTGTTTCATTTTCCCAAAAATTACTTTAGGGCAAATTTAATCTGTCCCTGAAGAATTTAACACACTTGCTAAGGACTTGAATTCAATTTTTTTGTGTGCTATTATCTTATTAAAATGAATATTATCTAAATTGTTGAACTAGATTGTTCACTGGAAGAATAGACGTGCTCTATTCTTCAGTCCATTACATATTATCTACTATTCATCTTGCTTTCCCGAACAATAAAGAGCCTCTAGTCTCACTTTTTCTTAAAACAGATGAGAAACTTGTAGATGCTGTGGTTGTCCCTTTTCTAATTAATTTTCGTTTCTCAGTTTGTTTTCAACTGAACAGGAGATAACAATTTTTACTATCCAGGTTTTCTATTTTAGGGTTTGGTACCCTAAACTCTGCCAGATGAAGCCATTGGACTTTATAGCATTGTCACCTCAAATAATTACATATGATATACTGATATTTCATGACTTTAAATGCTACTGTGTGCTTTGTTACCTCTATTCTAAAGGCATCATTTGCTTTTCTAGAAAGGAAAATGTTACAGTTTGTTGATATTAAGCAGCAGAACCTAGCAAATTATCTATAGTCATGCTGTTGCCTGATTTGGGTTTGCCTCAGCTCGTACATGCTGGAATACACATACAGTCTCTAGAGATGATCCACAGCTCAGGGAAGCTGAATCAGAGTATCACATGTGCCCAAGTATGCCCTGCTGGAACAGGATATGAGTCTGCACAGAACTGTCTTGACACACATAGCTTAATTAAGTAATGTAATATTATTATAAGTCTTTAATATTATGTAGTCATGTAATATTATTGTAAGTCTGATGCTTTTGGTTCCTTCGTGTTCAAAACTCTTGGTTATATAATGTTTGAAATATCTGTAAACTTGCCATGTACAATCCACAAATTTTACTAGTTTTGTGATAAACCTGATACTTCTTGAGCCTTAAAAAAGTATCCAAGGACATAAACATAAATCCAACTGCTCAAGCAGCTGTGTAGACTATTATGATACTGCCTAGTAAGACCCAAAACTGTAAAGAGAGGAGAGAAAATTCTTACCAGGCCACATGGAAAAGAATCTGCCTTTTCACCAGGATAATCTCTTTGAATACACATATGAGAAAACCATCTCAGTGTCATTCGGTAGCTACAAACACAGTTACAGCACTACTACCCTAAGTTATACAAAAGCTTTTTGGTACTCGGCAGAGCTTCTCTGATAGGGCTAAAATATGGATACAGTCTGAATAGCAAAGGTGGGCTTACAACAAAAAACCATACACACGTATGTCCACTGACCCATTCATCCAAATTACTACAAGATTATGATCAATTGTCCTACTTGTCTGCAGAAGGATGAGAAAATTGTCATACAGGCTAGCAGTTTTAAAAATCTTTCTGAAAAGAGTGTATCAACTCTGGAACACTGAGGTTGCCCTGGCCCTCCACACCACCCCCCTTTGAAGCTAAATATCTGTATTTTGTAGATTCTGATGTTCAGTATACTAGATGGTCTTTTCCTACCTCATCCTTTTGAGTATCCCTTTGAATTCCTCACACTTCTAGGAATTCCTTAAAAAACTCAATTTGTTTGCTGCAGTGTTGTGCACTGTTGCTAAAGGACACAAAATGATTGACACAAACACCTCTCAGTGTTAGAACAGGAAAAGAAAAACTTTATTCTCTGACTCCAGTATTTATAGATTCTCGACAATGACCAGGGATTGGATAATTAAGCTACCACTTTCCCAGGCACACCGGTCATGCGAAATGTGATACACAGCATGAATAAATTCATGCTAAAGTTATAATCTTGTCTGACAAGAATCCTAGCATATTTTCAGGAAACTTTCCCTGACGAGATTATAGTGATACGCAGCAAGGCCAAAATGTTCATCTGCAAGGGGCCTATCTGCAAGACACCTCCATCCGATAAGATTATAATATGCACTCATAAATATTCATCTGCAAGAAGTGTATTTCCAAGAAACCCAACGAAATTACAACATATACGCCCAAAACAGCATGAATATTTGTCTGCAAGAAGTGTATTCCAAAGGATTCCTGAAAAGCCTGAAAACATATAAAAAAACACCCTGGGACAGTCACAGTTTGTGAAGCATGGTGGAGAAGTGCTGCAGAAAGCCTCCTCCCTGTCTCACCCAGTGCTGTTCACCCATCACAGCGCCGAACTGATTTTTGCTTATGGTTTCTTTTTACGATTGTATTTTGATTATAGAATTTTTTTTTTAATTAATCAAATAGGCTACTCATTTATAAAAGAAACGTCCATCAAAAGACGTTTCTTAGAAGGAATGTGATAAACAACTTATGTTTATAGAACTTTCATGGGAAAGTAACTAAAACTATGAAAACATTATCAGAAGGCTTTAGGTTTCAGGGTGACATTTACCCTTTCTCCTTCAAAAAAAGAATAAGAAAAAAGAAAAATTAACAAAGAAAATGAACAATATTCTAAACAATCAAAAAGGAAAATAAGCAATGTTCTAAACAATCAGAAGGCTCTAGTTTCAGGGTGACAGTGCACCGCTGACCCCACCCTTCCGGCGTCTGTGGCCGGCGGGCTCACACATGGACTGAAGCCGTTAACGGGCACCGTGGGCTCCTGCGGACCGCAG